CCAGCCAAATTTACAAAGAGCTTCAACTAATTTTTGCTCATATTTGTATGAGACAAGGCTTCTATCATTATGATATCAAAGCACTCAATAATGAAATGTAGGCACCATATTCCCAGCTGATGTCAATTTTATTGTAACTCTGTTGGTGGAGGTAGGACAACCAAGACCAGTTAAGGACATGAATGTAGATGTCTGATTTGCAGGCATCATCTGGTAATTAGGTATCCTTACATCACAGTGGTGTTTTGAGGCTATAAATACATTAAAGACTGTGAAGTGCTTTGAAAGCAAATGATGAATAAGAGACAGGTATTATTTTGAAGATGATATTCTCATTTATCATTTGTACTTACAAACAAGGGTGCAAAAATAGGGTCCTGTTTTGAAAATCTAGTCACATCAGCTATGCTTGAAAACACAGTCACCTGAAATAGTTACATACTGCTTGTTAGAGTTGCTTTGTGAAGCATGTCTCTGTTCTCACAGAGCAGATTGATACTTAATGTAGAGTTCAAGTGTAGAAAATTGTTTTCCAAGACTTTCAAATCATCTGTGTAAAAGCCATTTTTGAGGGAGGTTACACAGTTTTACAGCACTATGTCAGCTCACTACCTTGATAGCTTGGCATTTGGGAGTAGCTCTCTATATCCCATTCCACATGCTAGTAGTGATTACTCTTGTGTCACTCTCCTGGTGCACCAGGCAGGATTCTGTCTCTCTTATCAGTTTCTGGGCACTGCAGTTGATGCAGCACCCTGCTACATTGGCTCTAACTGGCTGTGGCTTTAAAAGCCCTAAAATAGCTGTAGGTTTCTAAGCTCTGGTCTACACTACAGAGTTATTTTGAAATAACCTCTCCACCTTATTTTGAAATAATAAGCGGAGCATCCATACTACCAATCCTGTTATTTCAAAATAATGGCTGGCTATTTTGAAATCTGTACTCCTGTTCCTCTCAGGGAATAACACTTATTTAGAAATTGTTATTTCAAAAAAGCACTAGTGTGGACCATCCTCTGCTGCTAATTTGAAATAATTGGCTTCCAAAGGCCCCTCACAGCTGCACTTCTCACTGCTCTGACCACACCTGCCTGCTCCACTGCTTTCCTTTTCCTTCAGAGCTTAAAACTTCAGGATGTAGGAGCATCCCCGTGCCACATAGGAGGATCGGATGGAGCCATGAGTTACCCCAATGCTGCCTCAGTCTCCCATGGCTGCCCTGGCTCCAGCTTTGACTGGTATGAAGATCCTGGACCTCATTGAGGTCTGGGGGGTGGAGACTAACCTCCAGGATCTCCACATCAGAAAAAGGAATGCGTCTGACAAAGGTCACAAGTGAACTCTTGACCAGGTCTGCGTGAAGATCAAGGAACTCCAATAGGCCTACCACAAGTCTGGGGAGCAGAGTAGACACTCCAGGGTAGCATCACATACGTGCTGCTACTTTGCGCACCTGGATGCCGTCCTGAGAGGCAGGCTAGTCACCTCCCGCACCCCTGTAATGGAATTTGGCCAGGATATGCCTGGCATCAGCTTCTATGAGACCCATTGAGGAGGAGGAGTAAGGAAGAGGAGGAGGCCAGACAAGCAATCATGCTCACCAGCCAGGAGCTCCTCCTCACTCTCGAGACAGTTCCCCCCTCCCAGGATGTCACCCAGACTTCTGACGATCCGGGCAAAGCACTTCAGGTGAGTTCTATAACATTCGTAAATACACGCAGGGGCAGGCACCAGGCTGTGAGGGGCTTACTCAGCCTGATGGACCTGACAACAGCCTGTTCATGTGGGTGCACATGTATCACCAGTCCAGAGAACTCAGCCCCATGACGCTGTCACACAGGAACCCCTTGGTTCTTCTCCCAAGGTTCTTGGAGAGGCCTACCTTACTTCAGCCTCCATGGTGGGACACCTTCCCATGACAAGCCACCATTAAGGAGTCTGGGATCACAGAATCACACATCAGTGCCGCACAAGGTACAGGGTCATGGCCGCACTCGGAGCATTCTCTCCCGGTCAAGTGTGGAGATGCAGAGGAGGCTGATCCCTTGCATGGGAAACTGCTTGGGGAGAGGAAGAGGAGGGGAACCTAGTAGCCTTCTCTCCGGCAAGTGGCCTCTGCTGCTCCCACACACTTCCTCCAATCCCCCTCCCCTATCTCTACCAGGAAGGGATAGAAGTTCCCTCTCTGTGGGATGCCGCCAGTGCCTGGCATGCATGGGACACAGTAGGAAGCCAAGCTACTCCATCTCCCACTCCTGCCCACAGGCTACTGGCCTGGCCAGCACCTTCCCTTGCCTACTTGTCCCCAGGCTGTGGGCATTGTGATGCTCCCCTGGGATGTCTTTGCCCCTGCTGGAAAGTGTTCCCTTTCTAGGCAACATATGGCCCATCACCATCATCTGAACTGAGACCTTTTATGTTGGCTCAGAGATTAGGGCTAGGCTTCATACACAGTGTCTCCTGGGATGTCTTCCCTTGTAACTTCTTCACAGCAGGGACAGCTGCAAGCTTGGCATGTCTCCCAACTCCCACACCATCTGCATGACTCCATGGGATCCACAGTCAGAAGAGAACCTGAGAGGACCTCATGCAGGAACAGATGGCCTTCCTGCAGTCCCTCATCCAGGGTCCTGAGGAGGAGCACCAGGAGTGGGCTGCTGACTGGGAGTAGCAGAAGGCTGCCTGGGACCAGCTGGCATGCCAGCATGAGGCCGTGTGCTCCTCCCTCATCTTGGTGATGAAACGCATGGCCTTGTGCATGAAGCAGGCCACCAGCCACCTCCCTGCCTGTCCATGGCTTCCATTCCTACACCCCCTTGTAGGGGTCACTGGGGCCCCAGAATATGTGATGGTGGGATCTCTTGGGCAACTGACACCTCACAAACAATCAGAGGCAGGTGACAGTCTCAGCCCTGTCCCTGAGCTCTCTTGACCCCTATTCCCCCATCCCCCATTTCAAGTTCTTTCTCTAGTCCCTCCCCTGTTGTATATCCTCCCAATAAACAGTCCTTTTTTTTTCAGAAAAGAAGGCTTTTTTATTTGCTCTGCAGGGGAGAGGGTGAAGGTGAGATGGGAGGGCAGGGGAAGGGAGGGGTAGAGAATGAAAGGCACACAGAGGGAATGCAGGGGCCCTTCTGGAGAGGCACTGGGGAGAGTCTCACAGCTGGATGTGCATGCCGTCTATGCCCTTCCTCACTCCAGAGCTGGGGAAACTCATGGCATCAAAGTGTCCACATTGCCCAGAGTGGTTGATGGGCTTCGCTATCTGCCAGAGTATGGCCCCAAATGTAGATTTCCTCTCACCAAACTGTTTCCAGATGGAGCAATAGTTGTCTGGCATGGTGAGCTTTCACAGTGTGATGGCAACGCACTTCTGCAAGGGGATGGTGGGTCTCAGTCAGGTGGCCTTCCACGTGAAGAAGTTCTGCAGCCACGACTCATCATCCCATTACTGCAGGACAATGCGGTTCCACCAGGTCAAGCTTGTCTCTCTCCCTCAGAAGCGGCATTCTGTGGTGTCTAGGGCACTGAGGGGCATGCGCAGATCCAAGAGTACCAAGATGTGGGTGATGAGGGCCTGCAGTCCTGGCTGGTCCTCGTCCTGCTGGAGCAGCATTCAGGCAGTTTGGAAGTACTGCGCCATGAAGCGCAGCACGAGGCCCGTGAGCATGGCACTGCTTTCCAGCAGCTCCAACTCCATGTTGTGAGTGCTGTGGCATCCATAAGGGCAACCAGAGCACACAGCATCCATTTGTGTCCCACAATGGGGAAGGCAGTGGAGGACTGTCATGTGAGATGCAGCCGTAGAGAAGAACCCTTAAAAGCACATATCTCAACTTGCCTGACCAAGAAGCCATAGGAAGTCTTTGTCCTCCTGATGCCCTCTCTAAAGTGCTTCATGGGGCTCTAAATCCAAAGCACACTCCAAACGGTATGGACACGGTATTTTGAAATAATTCTGAATAATTTCGATGCTCCCCCATAGTGGCAACACTATTTCAATTTTGTTATTTTGGGAGTTATTATTTCAATGTTACTTATTTTGAAATAATTTCCTACTGTAGACATGCCCTAACTGAGGATGCAGAGCTGTTAATTAAGAGCTACCTTCTAGTTGGTAGATTTTATAGCTTGATCTATCTCTGTGTGCTTTCCCTCTTGTGCACAGATGCAGAATTAGCCTCATTCCAGTACAGTGTACTCTGTTTATGCAAAGAATGACTGCCACAATTGAATGCATTATACTAATGTCTGATTCATAAATGTAAATAACAAAGTCTAACTTGGTATATTTTTATAAGGATAGTTTCTTTTTGTCACAGAATAATAATAAAAGTTAAGTATAAATAGATTCAATTAGAATTATGCAGTTCATTTTACATTTAGGAAGCTACACAGTTTCATGCTATCTTGCATATTTTCAATATAGATTTTTGTCTGCTTTAATTTTACACTGGAATTCAATAATTAACTTCAAAATGCAAATTCCATGCCCCTTTTTACTTGTCAGCTATCCTGCAGCAAAATATCTAAGGATATACTAGGTGGGAATTTTGATTTTCTTTGAATATCTTATTTGTGATAATTAACTAGAACCATGTAACAAGCTTGGGGCAGACGTAAAGCTTGTTTTATCTGCTTCAATAAGCTAGATCTGTGTGCAATAGGGATTGGAACTCTGAACCACCAGTATGTAAGTATAACTTTTCTGAGGCATGTCACTGGTTAAGTGACAAAAATATTCTAATTGTCACTGAAAAAGAAAAGTCAAGGGTACATTTGAACCTGTCAGTTGCACTCATTCCTGTTATCCCTTTAGGGGATATCATACAGCTTGACACCAACATTTAAGCTTTGAAAATTATGAGCTCATCTATTTCAAATGGGATGGCACACGTTCCCAAGCCTTTGCCATTACTTATGATGGGAGATGGTGATCACTTTTTTGTTCAGATATTGATATTGCATAAGCTTTTTCTTCTTCTTTTTTCCTGTTTCAGAATGAAGAACAAATTTTGGTATTTTGAGTTTGGCACTTCTGAAACTTTCTCAGCCACCTGCAAGAAGCTGCATGAATCTGTAGAAATAGAAGTAAGGAATTAATTAGTGTATGTTACATTATACAATGTGTCTGGTTTGACTGAAATACAAGTGGGAGGGGGTAGGGCAAAGTGCTCAGACCTAAAAAGACAAAGGAATGCACAAGCTTTTGACCTCAGATCCCAAAATATTATTTTGTCATGTCTATCTGTGGTGTGGAACAAAGTTCAGTCTGATGATTAGTGTAGTCTTAATACAGTAGAACAGGGCAAGAGGTGAACAAAAACATTAGAAATCAATAGGGAAGTTAGTTCACTAGGTCAGATAGAAAAATGACAGACTGTTCGGAGGAGGGACAATTGCCGCAGGATTAATATAAAAAATCTTATTATTTCTAGGTCCCAAGTTTCTATAACCTTTAAATCTCAATTCACTAAAATTGCACTTGCTTTCCTGAATAAAGGTTAACGAATACATTTTTTTAAATCATTCCCCTTCATTAACAACTTTTCTCTTTGCACAAGGGGCCATCTTACCTTTACACATCTAAGGTTAGCTGAAAGGGCCCTCTTAATAGATGTGGACAGAATAGGCATTCAAAATTCTTAGATGAGGGAGCTTCGAAGGCCTTGGTCAGTCACTCATGTGGGCTAGTAGTCATGTTACAAAAGTAAGGTGACAAAATATAATATAATTAGAAATATAAACCTAAGGATGTACGTTATAATAAAGCAAGCATTGTTCAAGTTAAATGAGCCCTTTTTCTTTTCTCATGATAATGGCAAATGACCCAAACTCACTTTCTGTGTAGTCAATGAGATATTTTATAACTGATGATAGCATAAGTGGGCCCAAAATGTGGTGTTTAAAAGAAAAGTTAATTGGGCCTGATCCAAAGCCTGCTGAAATCGAAAGACTCCCATTGATTTGGATTGGATTTAAACTGAGCACTAGTTCTACACCTAAAACTTAGCTCAACTTGGCCGTGGTGCTCATGGGTGTGAAAAGTTCACACTGCATAGACACATAATTAAGCAGATGTAAGCCTTGATATAAACATCACTAGGTTGACAGAATAATACTTCTGTTGACCTATTTACCTTCAGTGATTAAAAAGCCCCCTTCATCACAGTAGCAAGTGCCTACAGGTAGAGCTACTGACAGAATTGCCAAGCTCCTGGATAAGGTGGGGGACATCTCCGGCAGTGAGTTAAAGGGCCTGGGCTCCAGCCGCTGCTTCAGTAACAGCAGTGGCGACCAGAAGCCATAGCACCTTTTAAAAAGCTGGACTGTGGGACAGATTTCCCTTTGCTTTCCCCTGTGAGTGGCCCTGTCTACAAGACACCACCAAAGATTACTGAGACAGAAGTTCTGAGGCTTATGAGGCCTGGGACTTGCTTAGTTTGTTGTTAGGTTGAAATACAGAGTTTTGCTTGTGAAGGGTTTTTTTGTTGTTGTATGTTTTATTTGATGACCCTGCCAAACTGTAATTTCTCCTGAAATTATGGATATTTATATCTTGTTCTTGAAGCAGACTTTTATACCTAATTTTGATTTTTAAGAAAGTGCCTCATATTTGGTTCTAAATACAATTAACTTGAAAAACATTTTCCTAAATATTTGGGGAGCTGACTAGCAGGTTTGAGTTTTGAATTTGTTTTTGGAATGTAAGACTCAGATATAAATTAACAGAATATAAAGCACAGGGGCAGATTTTGCACCAGTGGACAACTTTCCACCCAGCCAGTACATGAGCTGTCTGCCTCATAAGAGTTGATCTCCTTAAACTCAGCAGCTGTATAGATGGCCATATATTTTTACATTCTGCACAGTCAAAGTTAAATGAATTTCCAGCCAGTCTCAGAAAAGTGGTAATTCGGAGACTGTAAATTATTGTTATTAAATTCAAGACATTAGAATTTCATTATATTATATATGCTTGTTTTTAGTCACTTAATGCATGATGATTAATATCATTAATGCTAAAGAGAGGTACCTGAGCAAATCAAAGGGAAATATTTATGTGATGGGTGGTGGGAATAAATTATGCAAAGCTATTACTTTGACAAATAGGTTACTCTTACACCAATAATCCCTAACAGCATATTTGTATTTTATTCTCTTTTGTTTTTAACTTGTAAGCATTTGTTACAATGTGTTTTCATCTGGTTTGTTATCTTCTGCCCTTTCCTCGAGGACATCATTGCAAATGAGACCTTGGTGAATAATAGCACATTTCATTTTGTGAATAAAACACACAAAGAGTGAATTTGCTACAGAGCCAAATTTTGCATGAACAAAGCCCAAGAAGATTAAGGATCTGTATCTCTGAGCTGGGAGAATATAATCAGGCACTCTATGGGCAAATATTTGTTCATCCTTATATTTGGTTTCTAAGTTAATTAAGCCTGGCCTTCCTAATATGCACTCAGATTTCTTAAGCCCTGTTCTTTCTTTTCTGTACAAGATGAGCAGTACATTTTAAATTACAAATTCATACATGAAAGTCCATGTGAAGGTTAGTTCATGAAAGCAATGCATGTACTGACTAGGAATGCTTTTCTGAATTGGGGCCCAAAAACACAAGGCATTTCAATGAGAAGGAAAGCAATTTTATGGAGGAAAATGGCAATCTGTAACATTAGGTTTCTTTTCTTTGTCATTTGAGTTATTACAAAATTACTTAAAGCTTTACAGAGTGACCTGGGCTATCAGCTTCTCCTCCATAAATACTTTTTTATATAAATGAGCATGGTTAAGTGACAATATGGTGTGGCACAGTATTGCACTTATTCAGATTGTATAGGCTTTATCTCTGTTCTTTTCAGGAAACTAAATCAGACTTGATAGCTTCACTCTAAGACAGATCTAAAATGTTCCAGGCTAATAAATGTAATAGAAAAGCTAACACAGAAAAGTGGTCTGCTTCCAAGAATGAACCCAAAAGGAATCAAAACAAAACCACTCTTTTCTAGTTGATATAGACATGATATACATCTAAAAAGCATGCTGGTACATTAACAATGCCTTTACATTACATGAAACAGAAAAATATAGGAACACAATAGGTATGTGGTTTGTTATTTTAGCCTATGAATGCATTAGGGCAACAAAAAACTACCTATAGACCAAACTCCTCTGTGTATGAACAAAAGAAACCCTCCTTTACTAATTCCGAAAGTAATTCCGAAAGTAACTCATCACAGTGGGATTCTGAGGCCTAGTCAAATAATTGTCTTAGTGTACTACCCGCTGTGCTCAATATTGAGTGAAAATGGAAGTGAGGCCTCTGAACCATCTTATTTTACAATTCTTCTTTTATTTAAATAATTCCAGTCGGTTTGGGGGATGCCAGACCTTTATAAATTAACAGCAGGGAAATACCAAAGGTGTCAGATTGCATATTTATCATCTTTTTCGTGTAATACTTAAATATGTATTAAGAAGTGACTGACATAAATTAGGCAGATTTCAGAAGCCACAGGCCGTGGCTTGTAGAGGACCCCCTTCTGCTTGACATTTCATCCTTGTCAAAGATCAAATTATTTTAATTTAGGCTGCAAATTATAAGGAATGAAGACTTCTTTGTGGGAATTCCCTGTGGTAATCTGACTTTTGTTGTTACTGCTGCTTGTCAGTGTGCAAAAGATATAATATGCATGCAAATAAGGTTAAAAAATATGTACTATCTAATTATCCAGCCAGTACATTCCACTTGAAGACAGTGGGAGGCCTGACACACAGTATGTGTTTGATTCATTGAGGCCTGCAGGGTATTTACACAAGATTACTTTTAATTATGAAATTAATATCTGTTTATCTAGAATGTATAGCAGTAAGTAAGTATACACATGAGTGGAATTTTTTAGTAAAATAAATCTTTCTTTAATACATATAAAATATAGAAAAACTCTGAGTTTTCTTCCAAAATGGCATTGAAGACTATCATCACTTTTTTTGAAAATCAATAAAAAGGTGCCCTTTCTGTTATAATTTTTGCCTCAACTGCCAAATCATTTCAAGATGTCATTGCACTTTACCAGCTTCCCTTTCTGAATATTATGCATAAGTTTAAACTCTCACTGAAGCATTTTTTTTTCATAATTTTATTCTTGGTGATCATATATTGGCATTCCACCATCAAGCCATAATCCTACATGTTCAAATGTACAAGTGGATCCCTGTAGCTATACAGAACCCCACTGAAAGGGCTCAGTGAAAGTCCAGGCATCCACCAGCATATTGTAAATTATAGGAGCAGGATCTAATATGTCCACATGTATTTGGTTATGCCAGAATGTCTACACATCTGAGCTTTATTGTCAGACACAATGCTAGTATGCAAATACTTTCAGTCAGTATGGGAATGTGGATCCTGAGGACTTTGGATGGCTACATGAATTAATAAATAGATATAAAGCCTTTGCCGCTGTAATAGGTGCAAATATAATGCAGGTTGTATTGACCAAAAATCATTTGTTTGCTATCCCATTGTTTGTCAGTTCCTTGTTCTAGGTGGAATGGGTGGAATGCTCTAGTCTTCTTTCTAAGGGAATAGGTGTCTGTACTGAAAAACCACAACTATGTTGTACGTGTACTGGAAGTATCGTCTGACAGGCCAAGGACTGAATGAGCACAGAAATTAAATTATCCTCACACCCATCAATCTACCTACATTTTAGGAGATGTAAACATGACAGTGTATGGTGACTCCTCTTCTCTGGATTAACAAATGAGTTTGCTGTCTAAGACTTTCCATCTTTCATGTGTCATGAGCATTAACTTTCCTAAAGAAATAGCAAAGAAACCAAAGTGCGACCCTTACATCATTTTCAAGAAAAGTTATTATATTATTGAAGAAACTGATTTTTTTAAAGCAGAATAGAAATTTCCTTGTGACTCTACTGGTAGCGCTTTGATTCTGACCAAAAAAGTCATTGGTTTACATGGGCTCATTCCCAATGAGGTGATTGCTGTATAGTACTAGGAGGGCATGTGCTATTAGTCTGTCAGATGTGGTGATAGATTAAAGTCCTCTAAAAGTCCTCTTGGTGAACCGCAGTGGAGACTGATGGTCCAGCATTTCACCAAAGTAGAAGCATGGGCAACAATAGTTTCCCTCCAATTATGCGCCTCATGCCTGGAGGGGACCATCTGCAGTTGTGGGAAGGTAGTGCCAATTCAATGGTCCATTCTCTACACCCACTGAGTCTGTAGTTTCAGAAAGGCTTTCCACGTAAACATGGGCACCCCCCACTTCTTGTCCAAACAACCCCCACCAATCCCTCATCCTAAACACTAAACAAATCAGCCTAAAATAAAAGTGAACAACAAATTTTAAAAAATGATAATCAAAAATTCCACCCAAGCAAAGTTTTACCCTAAAAAGGGAGAAGCATCAAAAATTCCATGAAGTCTATTTAGGGACTTCTACTATTGCTACTGATTTTACAGGAAAGTGCTCAGAAAGAATAGTGCTGGGCAGCAGTATAAAACTGTAAAATAGAAAAAGTATTTCTTTGTCACAGACAGGAGACCCAAGTACAGTAAAACCTGTGTTATCTAGCATGCTCGGGGATGAGGGCGTTCCAGTTGTCTAAAAATTCCAATTATCTGAGAGTCCCTTTTTGGAGCTGCGACACCCATGCCACAGGGGCCGCCAGCTGCCCAGCCCAGATCCCGGTTGGCTGGATTATAGCGGTGTGACGGGAGGCTGCACCCAGCCTTGTGCCAACTGGATCAAACCACCACGTAGCCGTGACCAGCCACATGGCCGAGTGGATCAAAGTGCCGGGCCGCACAGTCACGCCAAGTCCGTAGGAAATTTGCCGGTTTCTAAAGTTTTCCAGATAATTAAGTGCCGGATAGCGCAGGTTTTACTGTATTGTGAAGGTAGCTTTTGCTGTATGGATATTTGTCCACCAAGAGTTATAGTGAGATCATAAACGTATTTCACATGAGTCAATGCATAACCATCAAGTGATAACCTTTCACTACCAAATGGTTCCATATTTAAACAAGCATCCTGGGAATGAATAGTAATCATATTCACATTCTGCTTCATCAACCAATATCTTTCTTCCCAGTTCATAGTTCCTTTCCAGAAATAATATATACAGCTTTAAACAGGAGTATGCATTTGATGGTAAGAGGAATGATGAAGGAAAAATACCATCTGGAAGTTAGAACATTCTGATTTTCTCTTTCTGTCTTACTGCTTTCTCTCTTTATGTCTTTTTTCCCCCTTTGCTAATCAGTGTGATGGAATTCAGATAGACTTAATCAATATTTCTCTGGAAGGAATTGCCATTCTGAACATTCCAAGCATGCACGGTGGATCAAATCTTTGGGGAGAGACCAAGAAAAGACGTAGCCATCGTCGAACTGAAAAGAAGAGGTTGGATAAAAGAACTACTGTCACAGATGCCAAGGAATTGAAGGTTGCATGTCAAGGTAAGCCTGCAGATTAAAATGAGCAGCTGATTCTAGACACTCAAATTATTAAGCTACACTGTTACATGCCTCTTTGTTGAAGCTGAGAGTGGCTTAGAAACACATACACACAACGGTACAGCAGTGTACAGGCATAAACACACACACACACTCATAAATGCAGTATGTGTGCAAACCTACCTTCCATAGATAGGACGTCATATAGGACATCACACAACATGGAACACTGCTGTTCTATTCTGTAGAGAAAATGCTTAATGCTATAGAGTCCAGATAAAGGGTAGTCATGAATAGCACTATACATACAGTTTGGTTTCAGGGACAGTCACAGTCCTCTTCTGACAGAATTTGTCCTCCATGGCGATAGAGCTTCACATCGTGGTAAGTGTGAGGATCTGTTAACATGCTATAGCATACCATGCCTGAATCCCATGTGTGCTCCCTGACTATATAGACTACAGTTTGTCTGCCAGCTTTCCCTTCCATTTTGTCATTATTCATTTTTTATAGAAAAGATCAGGATTCAATCCTAAGATTTTATTACTAACAGTTATTTCTGACAATCATTATAGTGAGTAAGTGTCCATTTTACTCAGTGGGAGCTGGACAGCATTCATTGTAACACACCATTAAATATCACAAGTTAAGAAGTCTAAATCAATTTTTCTCCAATTTTTGCATTTTGTGGACCACAAAATTTATAAAAGAAAATTTCTCGTAAATCCATCTGTCCACCCAGCACCCCAATATCTTGGTCTCAAAATCTTATTTGCTATGGACCACATGAAAGGGTTCTACCGATAAGACTATGAGACCGTTGGCCTAAAGTTATCATCTACCTATACCTTCTTTAGCTCTCTTTTCACTTCAAAAGAAAAAGTTTGCTTACTCCAGTGGGTTACAATATTAAAAAATTGTATATCTCAATAAGCCTGATAAAACTCAGGACTTTTACATTCTGATTTTATCTGAATCCTTTTACTTTTGCTGCTTCCCTTTAAAAAATTCCAAATATTTGCTTTCCCCCAGATCTGGTACTCTGCAATTAAACTTTTTAAAAATCATTATTTGTTCTTGCTACTAGGATAGGATATATTATGGTCTTAAGCCACTGCCGGAATGAGATGAGAAGGCAATGTACATTGTCAGCAGTTTACTGAGGCATTGTCTTTGAGAAACGTGCAAGAACTCTGAGATTGGTTGAGGACTGGTCACAACAATGCCATCTGCTATAGCCATTAACAGAGTGCAGCATGTTCCCTTCACCCCGATCCTTATGTTAGCCCAGCTTTGATACTCCATGTGGAGGTGGGACACGTTTATGGTTCTACCACACCTTTCTACCAACTACAGAGTTTCTACTGCTACTGTCAATGCTGGAATACCTTGCTGGAATACCTTTCAAAACAGTACTTGGTCCATGGTTTGCAAAGGCACTTTGAATCTTCTCTCTTCTCCCTTGTACTTCTGAGGCAGTCTAACAACTTGTTAGCATTAGCACTTTTGTTGGTAAAACTTTTGTCAGTAGGGCTGGGGGTGTATTTTTCATGTAAGTTTCATAGACAAAAGCAGGAGTGTGGACAGCATTATGTCAGCAGGAGAAGCTCTCCTCCCCACATAGCTAACACTGCACATTGGGGGTGATTCAATTATGCTGTCAGCAGAGCTCTCTCTTGCCTGCATAAGAGGGCTACATGAGAGACTGTAGCAGAACAGCTGTGCCACTGTAAGGTCTGTAGCTTAACAAAGAAAGGGTTGCAATGCCTTTCACATCTAGAGCAAAGGTTCAAATGTCTTTCGAACTGGCATGGATGAGAATCATTGTAATCTCTCAGCTGTTTGAAGTTCTTAATTAAATGGGATAAGAGTTTATCCAGTGAATGGTGGATTGGTCTGTACATTACAAAAGTAATTTATTAAACTTTGTTTACATCCTTGTTGGCAGTGCCAGCAGAGATCTCAAGGACTGAATAAAGGGTATTATTTAACTTTAAGGGTAGTCCCTCCATTTTAGTGCTCAGGAATGTTGTCAGGTAGTGCAAAGTAGTTTGGAAAGCTTCTGGCTCTGTTATTGTACCTTTTTGTTGGTAAACAATATGACTCTTCTTTCAGTATCAACCAAGTACCTTTTCCAAGCCGGATATTAACATAAACATTTAAATCTAAAGTAAAGAGTTAGTTGATAAGCCCTCGTTGTTATCAGATAGGAAAAAACAAATTTGTTAGGTGAAGAAATGTATTTTTATGTTTCAAAGAGCTTCTTTCAAACAACAGATTTTTTAAATGTATGAAGAAGTAATTTAAATATAGTTCTTTTGGAATTTAAAAAAGAGCTTTGGTTAGGTAAGGTGAAAAGTTTAAATCTATCAGCTATCAAAACAACTGACTTCCTGTCTGTTTTCAGACTGAACGATTCCTTTGCTAGCTCCAGAATAGTGTGTCCTTGAGTCACAACTTCTCTTAGTTTAGTGTCTTTTTTATCCTTTAAATAGATTTTAGTTACTGAACTACTTAAAGGCTTTTGTATTTTTAGTTTAGAGCAAACATTTCACAAAATGTTAGACTTCTGAAGTTTGCACTGATGTTTTGAGAACCAAGATAAATACACACCTGCATATTAGTCTCTGTTCATTTATTTACTTAGTCTGAATAAATATCCTTTCAGCTGGTTTTATATCCAAACACAGCATCTAATCACAAGACCTAACTAAACAGCCACACTTTATAGGAGACGCTTAGCTTACATAAGACTTTTATAACGCTACGTATCTGATTTTCCTGAAAATCTAATTCTCTTAATTAGAACTGTTGAGCAGTATTGAAGCTCATTTTTGGTATAATCAAATAATAGCAATGCAACTGTGTTACTAAAACTGTGGACCAAACTGTGTTTCATTATAAATCCTGCTTTTGTGATTTTATAACCTGACCATAAAAATGTGCATTGGGCTGAAGCTTGGCACACAAAATCTGAATTTTGGAATAATTATCACTGTCAGCATTGAAGACTGGGTGGTGACTGTGCAACCTGCCCTGAATTAGAGGCGTCATGTTGCTTTTCTAACCCTGGAGCAGCCCAGGAGGAAGACTGTAGGATTAAATGCACTAGGTTTATTCCTGGTCCAGAATATATGGCCTGATGCATGCAGCTTTCCTTACTTTTTGTACTGAAGGAGAAAGATCCAAAGTTCTACCTACTGCTGGCCCCTGCTGCCCACTGGGTGGCAGGATGTATTTGTTCTATGGAGCCTGCTTCCTCTTCTGCATTTCTACTTGTGAAGGATAAGGGAGTAGGAGGTTGCCTCGCATTTGCATGCTGCCATACTAGCCAGGCCACAACTTGCTCCTTAACTTAAAAAACAAAAAAACACCTGGAGATCATGTTGTCCAGAGCCTTGTGCTGAGGCAGGAACAGGTATACTTTGACCATCCCCAACCAATGCTTGGCTATCCTGTTCTTAAAGACCTCCTGTGTTGGGGATTCCACAACCTCTCTTGGAAGCTTATTTATCGGTCCCCCTGAGTCTTCATGCCTCAAGACTAAACATGCCCCATTTTATAACCTTTCCTAAAAAGTCAAATTTTCTAAATCTTTTTTTCATCTTTGTAGACCTCCCCTGGACTTTCTCCAATTTATTTGCAAAACAATTTTATTAAAGTCTGTGAAACATAAATTAAAATTTAGCAATTTAAAAAGCCAAGATCTTTACTTAGGTGTATGAATGCAACTTCCACTGATTTCTATGGGAGTTTTGCATGGATATTAGAGTGACATTTGGCACTAATATTTTCTTCTTAAAAGTGTCTTTGATATATATAGATATAGATTATTAAAATGTACATAAAAACATGGCATATTTTAAGAAAAATTTCTAGAGCAGAAATGCATGTACTTATCATTACCTGATTGAGTTAATAAAGAATTATTATAGTTTATAATAATTATTGTAAATGACCTAAATACAGATTTAGTTGGCAGTCTACATTAGCTAGCAGATGTGTTAAATTATGCAAAATTATCACATGCAATATTTTACTATATTGAATCCCCTGATATTAAGATATATGAAATGTCTACCCATAATTGAATATTCCAAGGACAGCATTTTAACTGTAACTGTGAACCGTCTTTCTTTCTGAACCTTAAAAGAAATCATTTAACATTATTTGACCATAATTTTTCTTTATTAATATAAAAATACGAATAATGAGTATTTTAGAAACAGTGCAGCTATGGCATGAAGACATAAATATGAACTTGGACATGTAACTGGAAACAACTAAGCTTCCTAGTTTTTAGTAATCGAAACTCACTCAAAACATAGTTTATATTATGACACTGGACTGTCCATAAAAGAAATATCTATTCTGTTAATCAATATAACAACAATGATTACATATTAAATTCCCTTCCTGTCAGAAATGTTAAAACAAGTTCTCAAACCTTTCCCTTTTTTCTTTATTTGTGACAGAAGGAAATATATTATTAAGGGAATTACACGGCCAAAACTTTGTTTAGGTAGTGAAAAATATTGGTGTTCTGTTTGATTAATCTTATTTGGAACCCAGTCCTAATTGCTGAAATTTATTTAGAGAATAATTTGGTTCTGGATTATATTAAGTACCTCAGTGAATCACGCTTTAGGGCCGAACCCCATGTGCGTGCATACACATACACTGTGTTCATATGTACATATAACTTGACTCACATAAGGAGTCCCATTGACTTCAAACGGAATACTGGCATAAGCAAATTTACAAGTATAAGTATTTACAGGATCAAGATGTTAAATTATAAGATCTTCAGGAATGAAGCATTTCTTCCTATGTACCTTATAGAGCAATAGGTATACTGATGCTTAACAAAATGTTAAAAAAAGGCAATCAAACTGAGCAGCTTAACCACAAACCTGTAGTGAGATATTAGCCAAAGGCTCCTTAGACATTAGACAGTGCATATTAATGGTTTAATTCAGCATTTAGATGTAAACCAAGCTCCT